CCCCCCAGCTTGGGCTCTGTGTAGTTTGCGTCCCACAGTATGTGAATGTGTGTTTGCTCTGTGATGGACTGGCATCCTGCCCTACGGTGTCCCCTGCCTTATGCCCTGTGCTTCCTGTGACAGGTGCCAGGTTCGCTGTGATGGATAGATGGATGGATTTTTTTCCACTTTTACACATTACCAGAAAATTACATACACCACATAGAAAGAAGTCTACTTACTTCTCTTTTTTGGCCAAACCTGTAATTGAACAACATACAATTAAAGACATTGGAGCGCAAATACTAATACATCAATATGGAGCCTATCGTAGCTGGCAGGTTATAAATAATACGCAGTGATAACGAGTAATGACATCTAATGATTACTTGCATATTTATTATATAATAAAGATTACTGACAGTGATAAATCTCTGTATCAGTTTCCCATATGGTTTGCATCACTGAGGATGTGTTTATATCATCTCCCTTTGTAATAGTCAAGGCTCCCCATTACAGTATCAATGCCCCCTACTGGCAGGAGGCCATTACAGTCCTACTCCACTGAAACAGAACATAAAGGCAGAACAAAGATCCTCCGAAGAATTAAAGAAGCAGTGTTATGGAATATTAAGTGGTGAATAATTAATAAATGACTAATGATATAATATTCATCCAGGTTGAATACAGCACACAGAGATCAGATATATTGTCTCTATAAGTACTATTTTCTGTACAATATTGTTAAGGATAATTACCCACTAATTACTGAGTGATTACTTAGTTTTCGGTTTGATTTTTGTCCTTTATTTTTTACTGGTTTACTGCATTTCTTGCTTTTGTAATCAGGATATGGGGAGATGTAAACAATGTCTGGAAAGCTGATAACATGCTGGGATATTCCCAGTACACACATTTAACCTCTATGCAAAGTTATGCATCATATCTCTGTTATACTTACAGTATGCAGACATCTGTATAACAAGCCAGGCAAAGAGGAAGACAGACCCAGAAATCAGGACAATCAGCCGCAGGTCCAGTGGCTGTTTTCCTGTGTCTGAAATGACATCATCACAAAAAGCATTGAGAGCTGAGGTCAGTAAAGTGACAGAGATTAAACCACAGGAATCCATATAGTATTTCCTGAAGGGTCTGTACAATTTAGCTGTATTGTTATAAAAGTAAAACAGTAGGAGAAACATCTCAAAGTTCTAGTGTATTTACCTGCTTTGAGTTTTAATGCTACAGCCAGAGCAACAGAATTCAGGAGAGGGAGAGCAAAAGCCCCAGAGAAATATACATATTTATGGGGTTTGGCTGGAAGTTAGAGAGTAGAGCATTAGTCGTAAAGTTCTATATATACATTCAAACATATCAGTGTATTTTTTAGACATTTAAATAAAATGTAATTAACAAAACATTCTTTTTTTGGGAGCTGATATAAAGAAAATATCTGATTGCAAGGGCATATTCATAAAAAGCAAATGGATTTAAAAGTTTAAACAACAAAGATATCAAAAAATATTTTAAAATATCAAAATGAAAAACTGCAGAAGCCAAGAATGGCTATGCTTGCAATAAGTTTTTGTCATTATTTTGTGGTAATGAGCTTTGTTAGCGTGACGATGAACTGATGGGGAAATTACTAGTATATATGTGTATATAATTAAATATAATTAAAAGTAAAAGTAAAAAGTGATGTATACCAAGTATTTCATCCCGATGCCAGTCTCGCAAACATGATGCGGCAGTCAGCATGTAGATAAACACATACTCGCATATCGTTACAGCTGCTCCTGTGGTCAAAATTAGTTAATTTCAGTTTATAAGATGACAACGGTTATTATTACACACCTATGCACAGAAACAAAATGAAAGCACAGCCTAAAACTAACAATTTTGTAGGAATACACTATATTCCCAAGAGTACTGGGACACCTGCCTTTACACACACATGAACTTTAATGACATCCCATTCTTAATACATAGGCTTTAATATGGAGTTGGCCCATCCTTTGCAGCTATAACAGCTTCAACTCTTCTGGGAAGGCTGTCCACGAGGATTAGGAGTGTGTTTATGGGAAATTTTGACCATTCATCCAGGAGAGCATTTGTGAGGTCAGGCACTGATGTTGGATGAGAAGGCCTGGCTCGCAGTCTCCGCTCTAATTCATCCCAAAGGTGTTCTATCGAGTTCAGGTCAGGGCTCTGTGCAGGCCAGTCAAGTTCCTCCACACCAGACTCGCTCATCCATGTCCTGATGGACCTTGCTTTGTGCACAGGTGCGCAAACATGTGCTTCACACCAATGGTTCTCAACATTTTCAACATTAAGGCCCACTGGGCCACAATAGATGATATTTAATAACCAAGTTTTTTTTTATATTTAATAAAAACTTTAATTTCTTTGGCACAAAAACATTTACATTTCAGAAAAATATACCAACATACTGGGTACTGCAGATACATAAAAGTTTTATTTTATACATAACTCAAAAGCTAACAAGAACAGTCTCAAAACTGCTAAATTACTAAATGAGCCTTCAGCAGCCTTCAGTGTTTATCTCCTTTTCTGTGTTGGGAACAAACATATTACCAAAAATTTAACTTTAACATTCTGATTTAGTGAGTTTCAAAGCACAGTTCTGTAACTGTGATCTAAATTCTTAAAATAATAGTACTTTCTTACTTTCAGAGTCAGTGTCATGCTTGAGTTTGCTTCTGAGAGACCAGTAAATCCAGTCTTGGTGGGATAGATGAGAGACTGACTCTTAGAGAGGCCTCCAAGGATGCCATAAGTCTGTTCCTGGCTTTGGTCTTGGTTGTGGTTACAGTGGAAAAGCGAGATTCACATAAGTATGTTGCTGTGAAAGGCAGAAGAAATTTTACTGCCCTAAGTGCAAGGTGAGGGTATTCCTTTGATGCTGAGATCCAAAAAAGAGTCTAATTTGGTCAGCTGCAACTTTAAACTGCTGTCTGCTGACAGCTCCATTAGCTGGGCTTCTAACTCTGTGGGAGGAACAATGTCATCAGCTTGTGGGTCCACAGAAAAGGGGTCCAGCATCCACATATTGCCATCTCTGGGATCATCTGGGAAGTATTCCACAAATTTCTCAGCCAGCTGTGATAGGTGTTTGGTGACTGTTTCTGTTATACCCACATGTAGAGTGTTTTCCAAAACTTAATTTTAAAGTGGAAACATTTCCATCCTTTCCTCCTGAACACGCTTTGCCCATAGTGACAGCTTCCTCTTAAATCCCTCAGTCTTGTCAGCAACAAGAAAGATGTTGCTGTTTTTGCCCTGAATTGAAAGATTTAACTGATTCAGTTGTGAAAAAATATCAGCCTTGTGAGTCAGCTGAGCCAAGAATGCTATTTTAAATTCGCAGCCCAATCTGTAAGCCCAGTGGTTGAGATATGTGGCTTTATACCACTTAATCCGACGCTTTGCATTGCACTCGGTGATATAAGGCTTGGATGCAGCTGCTCGGCCATGCAAACCCATTCCATGAAGTTCTCTATGCACTGCTCAGGAGCTAATCTGAAGGCCACATGAAGTTTGAGGTCTGTAGCTATTGACTCTGCAGACAGTTGCCCACTTCTTCACACTGTGCACCTCAGCATGCGTTGTCCCCGCTCTGTGATTTTACGTCGCCTACCACTGCGTGACTGAGTTGCTCTTGTTCCCAATTGCTTCCACTTTGGTATAATATCACTAACAGTTAACCGTGGAATATTTAGTAGTGAGGAAATTTCACATATGGACTTATTGCACAGGTGGCATCCTATCACGGTACCACACTTGAATTCACTGAGCTCCTGAGAGTGACCCATTCTGTCACAGATGTTTGTAGAAGTAGTCTGCATGCCTAGGTGCTTGATTTTATACACCTGTGGCTATCAAAGTGATTGGAACACCTGAATTCAATGATTTGGAAGGGTGTCCCAATACTTTTGGCAATAGAGCGTACATTAAAATAAATGTATTTTTGTTTTAAGCATAATACAGCTCAATAAGGATTCATACAAGACATTATTACAATACTGTATTATATGCATTTCACAGAAGAATTTTTAAAGATTTTACAATCACCATGGCTGATAGTTAAAGCTACATTTACAGTTAAATGTATTTCTTACAGTAAAATGGTTTCTTTACCTTTGTCATTTTCTAGAATCACACTTAGATACAGGAAACTTAATATTGGGTGAAGCATGAAGAAAATCCCCAGAAGGATTTTCTGAGCCAAATCTGAAAAGAAATAAAAACAGATTAATTAAACATAATATAAAACAGGCCTTCATTGAACATTATCCCTCTGTTTACTTTTTGGCATGATATGTTGGATAGTGGACACACAGGGGGGTTACAAAATAAAGGAAATATCAATATATTAATATCAAGGAGCATCACATTTTGTAAACTGTATGGATTTTAATTGCACTCCAATAGCTCATTTTAAAGAGTGAGCTATTTTAGTTATGCATGTGAAAAAGTCCTGATTATGGTGTAGTACAAAATTTCATACTTACAGTAAAATCCCTCCAAGGGTGCGTCATATGCACACAAAAATTCCTGAATAAATATGCAGGCACTTAATCCCAAAGCAGCTACTGCGATTGGAATTGAATATCCTGAAAAGAAAATGATCATACTTTTGAGTACAATTATCCAGACTAGTCCCACATCCTATGACTAACCTGAATATAAAACTTAGAAATAGACCTGTTTGTATTTGTACTTCATAAATAAGCTGTTTTCCTTATTCAGACAATTGTTGTCTGACTTTCAGCTGTCTTTACAAAAGTACTATTCACAATCACAGTCACATGACCCTCAACCCTCACAATTACACAGACTAAACCAGGGTCCACAAATAAACCAGATTTAATGGGTTTGGACCAATCAGGGATCAGTCCCACAGACAAAGGTCCACTGAGTCACTGTACCACAACACGCTAATTAAATGTATTAAATGTATTTATGACATGACTGCGAATAAGTATAATAAGTATAAAATCAATTAAAAACAACATATCACATGGCTTTGGTAAATGCTATTTTCCTATTGGTCCAGAGATGACACATGGGTGTTCATTACTTTCGTGTAACTGCACAGGCACACTTGTGGACACATTTGTTGGTATCCTTCCACCAAAAAAGAACCCAAGTATCTCTGACATATCTTGGCATCCATTCAATTAATGGCATCCATCATTGGTTATTACTGTACATGTTCAAAAGAAATCAGATTGTTTCAAGTTTCTGTTGATTTCTGATTCAACTGAATATTTTACATAATAAAACAAGTGAAAATGAAATGGACAAAAAAAGATGGGACCCTTAACTTAATATTTTGTTACACCACCTTTAGCGGCAATCACTGTCAACATGTTATCTCTGTACTGCAATGAAATTTCTACAGTACATCGGCCAGCCGCTAGTTTGGCCCACTCTTCCTGAGCAAACAGCTCCAGCTGTCTCAGGTCTGAAGCATGACGTCTCCACACTGCATTTTTCAGGTCTTTCCATAGATGTTCAATAGAATTAAGATCAGGGCTCCTAGAGGGCAGTTTAAGAATAGTCCAAAGTGTTTTATCAGCTGTTCTTGTGTGTTTTTAATATTTTGGGTCATTATCCTGTTGAAGGAGCCATTTCACATAATCATACTGTTCAAGGAAACACCACAGGAAAAATAAATAAATATAAAGTAAAAAATAAACTATTATTAAAAAAATCTTTCGAGTTCATTATCAGAATTAAGCGTGTACTGTAATTGAAATTTGGTGAAATTGCATTTCAGATGTTTAGATAAGCCTGGTGGAACAATACAGCCCTCAGAAGGTCGCGGTATTCTTTGTGGCATGTTGTATGTTGTTGTCCACCTGCCCTCCATTAAAGGAAGGGAACTAAAGGGAAATGGGATGGTTTTGGCACACCAACCCCGTTAAAAGGGATGTTGGGAAAAAATTGTCCAATTAGCAGGAATAGGTGCAGAAGGTTGTAAGGTTTATTAACAAAAATAATAATGAAACAATAGCCAAAAAAAAAAAAAACAGTCTCCCGGGAAAACCATCTACACTAAAGAAAACCAAACACAGGTTTAAAATCACAGCCTCACAGCAAGCTGCCCCCCCTTCCCTTCTCTCTCCTGGCCTTCACCTTTACCACCTCACCTAACTGGAACCTACCACCTGTTCAGGTAAGCATGGGGTGAGCTGTGCAAAGATAAAACACAAAATTAACTCATACCAAACCAAACAAGCCATGGCAGCTATGTTTGACCTCCCACCATGCCTCTGCATTTGGCTGCAGTCTCATAAGGGCTACATAATTACTAACTGGTAATCTTTGATATTCTTCCCCCCCTAGTATAACTCAAGTAAGCAGCACCCAACCTCCCACTGCTAAGAGGACCTAATAATCACCCAAACCTGTCTTCACTCTCCCTAATGAGCAGCTGACTTCCCTGCCTTCCCAGCAGCAGCACAACCAACCACCACATACACAGCAAACTCCCCTAGATAAAGAAAATACAAAACAATTATATTTCATAAACAAACCATATAAATAAGGGAATTGAATCCAGTGAAAAGGAAAAAAAAAAAGTACCCTTTTCACAGTTGTGTAACATTGCCATGCGTGATGGATGCGTGAAGGACATAAATGAGGACACATAAGAGGACTTTAGAAGGCATGATGCGGAAGGTAAGGAATCTAAATTGTGAGTTATAACAATAAAAAGCTTTTCTTTTCTATGGTCCAAACCATTCTGCAGGACTTACTACTTTGAAATCTAAAAAAAAGAAAGGTAATTCCAGATCTTCTTTTTTGTTTTTTTTAGCAGTATTTTTAAACGGTATCTTCTTTCTGTTGGACAATATGTATGGCTTTAACTCCCTTAAGGGTAATTTATCCTTATTCAGCCTGATAGAGTTACATTTGAAATCTATATGCTGGAAGTATCGCAATCTGTATATTTTTTGGGTGGAGACTATTTAGACTCTGTGCGACACTCTTGATCAATTTGTTTACAAATCATCTAACAAAGTATCTCATTTATCTGGTCTGATGTCTTGGTTAGGGCTACTTGATATGCTGGTTTTTATTAATAAACCCTGCCTAGTTGGAGCTGCTACATGGATTGTCTCTCTTTCCGTCATACTCCACCACAACAGAATGAAGCAACCACCACAACAACGATCTCAAGGTTCTGTGATGTCTCTCACACTTGGGTCAGAGCACCTTCAAATATTACTTCATTACCAAGGTTGGAATTTAAATTTTAAAAAGAATATAGGCTGTCAATCACAAAACTGAAATGAAATGATGGTCACATTGAAAATGGTGGGAAGAGGCATTAATTAAGGCCCATTCCGCATCATGTGCCCGCCTTAGTTTAATTCAGTTTACATAGGATTCATTTCATGAAAGCTAAGCTTAGTAGACTGTTTCCAGATGTGTGATTCCTGCGATAGGTGCAGTTTCTCATCAGCAAATCATACTTACGCGTATATGTTATATTTTAGGTCAATACCTCAATATCTGGTCCTTTTTTTTTTCAGAATATTAAATGAAGCCCTTAATGTTACATAAGAACCCTGCCCGTTGATAGCAGTCGTTGGGACGCCTCGTATGCCGGCTTGTCTTACTAAAAGAGGTGCTGATGTTGCCTTTTGCCTCCCTTATAACTTGTATACATATGTCATTACAGTGGAGGACCCAAATTCACCCTCTGCTACATCCTGGTTAAAGGATTTAATGTCCTTCTTATCATTACAAAAAGTGTAATACTCCCTAAAAGGCTCATTGGCCAATTATTACAAAATGTGGAAGCCCATTATTGTATATATGAGTACCCTTTCCTCTCTGGACCCGAGTTGATTCCAGGCATCCACTTTTGTGCATCCATGTTATTTTATTTTCCTCCCTATTTTTTTTTCATTTTGAATCATCTTTCTATATCTTTGTGTGTTTTTCTTTTGTTGTATAGGGGGGTGGGGGGTGGATTTGGTTTAAACACCCATTGGGGGGGGAAGGCAATATGGGGGAGGGGGTTGGGGTTAAAAACAAAAAGTGGGAAAACGTGTGAAACAGTTTTGTTTGTTGTATTACGAGGAAATGTTATTTGAGCTAAATCTGTTCAGCCTCAAGCAAAGGAGACTGAGGGGGGACATGATCCAGGTCTATAAGATTCTAACAGGTTTGGATGCTGTTCAACCGAATAGTTACTTCAGCATTAGTTCAAATACAAGAACTCGTGGCCATAGGTGGAAATTAGCGGGAGAACATTTCAAACTGGATTTAAGGAAGCACTTCTTTACACAGCGTGTAGTCAGAGTATGGAATAGTCTTCCTGATAACGTAGTGCAAGCTGAATCCTTGGGTTCCTTTAAATCAGAGCTAGATAAGATTTTAACAACTCTGAGCTATTAGTTAAGTTCTCCCCAAGCGAGCTCGATGGGCCGAATGGCCTCCTCTCGTTTGTATAGTTCTTATGTTCTTATGTATTGTATTTCATATTTGTTTAATACCATTTCCCAATAAAATAAAAAAAAGAGAATGGTTGTTCTTGCTCACCTTCCTGTCCGCACATATTTATCGACATTTTCATACAATAATTGGGATGCATAACTGTTAAATTATGCAAGATAGAAATAACGTTAGGCATATAAATCCACTACATATCATCATTCTTCAGTTTCATGTTTGTGTTATGTTATTATGCCGATTATGATCTTTTATGATTTGTGTTGATGGTGCGTCACTTTCAATATTACTGCCGCAAGGAATTGTGGGATTGCATTTTTTCCATAATAGATGGTCCAGTGTACCATGTGCTGATGGAGATAAGAAAGGAAGCACTGAAGCACCTTTCATTGGCATTTTAGAGAATTCACACAGCTCTTATTATGGCTGCCACTTAGACATTCTGGGTCATTTCATTCAGGGACCTTTCAAAGCAAAAATGACTATTCAACCACAGCCAATGTCTTGATTTTAGCTCTGAATTCTGTGCAATGTCACAGCCTAATCTCTTCCATTGTTTACAATCAGGAAGGAATGTAGATCTCCATTAAAATCCATGCTCATATTATTCTCCCATTTGGGTAAGAAAATACTACATGCTTTAATGTGGCTTTAAAGTGAACCCAAAATGTTAACGTGACAAACTTTCCAGCCCTAATAAAAACTTACCTAATATGAACGTGTCTTGCATCCAGGCAAAGAGTTGAGAATAAATAGTAAGGAACAACATGTTGAAGAATAAGGGATGATCTGTAAGGCAAACAGACCAAATCAGACATCTTCATTCTCTCATTACTCTATATAGACATTATAGACCAGTTTTTCTGGTACCTCAACAATATTGTCCTTTCCTCCTCCCACACACTCTGTGTATGTGCAAATTGTGTGGCCATGATTGCAGAAATATGAACAGTCCATGTGCAAAGAACTACACTATATGGTCAAAAGTATTGGGAAACCCCATTCTAAATACATAGGCAACAATATGGAGTCCCCAAGTACTCTTCTGGGAACATTTTCCACAAGATTTTGGAGTGTGTCTGTGGGATTTTTTGCATATTCATCCAGAAGAGCATTTGTGAGGTCAAGCACTGATGTTGGATGTGAAGGACTGGCTTGCAATCTCCGTTCTAGTTCTATCTTTTGGTGTCCCGTGATCTTTCAGTTATATAGTTTCTTACTACCTTTTGTTTTCCTTTAAGAGTCGCCCACAGTTACCTTCCCTGTTCTTGGGATTTTTTCCCCCCAATAAATACAGTCTCTCTGGGCTGATGCTTGTTCACCCACCACAGACTGCGTGTGGTTGTTTAACATAACCCTAACACAGTACTTACACATGAAAAGTATCCAGATCACAAAAATGTCTCTAAAATCTACTTTCCCAGTTGTCTTTAGGGAGCGTATTATCCAAAATATACAAAATCCAACTGAAATAAGGAAAGAATAGCGTCAGCCACCATGAAATTCACACAGAATAAAAAACACACATACAACATGCTATTCTGTGTTCAAGACCCTGGTGGTGGTTCTGGGTTTGAATGCCATGTTGTTACTAAAAGTTCACTCTAGTTTAAAAGGTAGATATTATTGGGTTATGAAAGAAGTGCTTTGACTGGGTATTCTGTCATGGTACCCTAACCATGTACACATTAATTATGGAAAATATGCTTTCAGTATCAATGTCATGCAATGCACAAGTTCATTATTTTTGTGTTTAATTCACTACAAGGTAGCAAATAAATACAGTACTGTGCAAAAGTCTTATCCTTGTCAAAGTGTGTTAGCTTAGCCATTTCAAACCTCTGCTAAAATCACCGCAGTATTTGCAGCAACCTTCTAATACACCCATGTATTTTTTACTCGACCACTAGCATACTGTCACGCCCGGCTCGTCCGATCCTCGTGTGTGCCACGCCCCCTCATTACCCACGTGTACTACCCTGATTCTTCCCAGCTGTGTCATGGTAGTTTTGGTCTGTTTAGTCTACCGCTGTTTCCCAGATCTGTCATTAACGTTAGTCACCGTGTTGTCCTGTCCGCCCTGAATAAACCCGTTTCTTGGATCTTCGTCTACCTGCCTTATCATTCCCCGCGTCCTGCCTGCTTGCCGGACAGCAGTCACAACACATACCTTGTATATCAATACCTCAATATCTCATTGACTTTTTTAATGAATTAATTAAGCAAGTTGGAGGTGAAAATTAATAAATATGGAATGGATGAGGTGCCCCTGAGGGGATGTTTGGGAAAGGAAGCCATTTTCTTCTAGCCATCCACACTACCTGGCCAATATAAAAAAGTCGCCATTTAAATTTATATCAGCAAATTCTTAAGAGCCAATGACTGGATCATTATTACAGCCCATCAACGTTACGCAGCAATAAAGTAAAGTCAGCTGAGTACCTGAATCTACTGAATGGTCAGGTTATACCTCCATCCATCATCAATGGATTTTTTCTTCCCTGTTGGCATGGGCATATTCCAGGACAAGAATGCCAAGATTCATTGGGTTCGAATTGTCAAAGAGTGGTTCAGGAAGCATGAGGAATCATTTTCACGTATGACTTGGTCACCTCAGAGTTATGACCTTAACCTCATTGAAGGTCTTTGGGATGTGATGAAGGAGGCTTTATGGGGTGGCTCAACTCACTTGTCAATACAGGATCTTGGTGAGAAATGAATGCAAATCTGGATGAAAATAAAGGGTGAGATGTTGCATAAGCTTGTGGAAACAATGCCATGACAAATGAGCACCATAATCAAAGATAAAGGTGGTCAAACAAAAAATTCAAATGGCGACTATTTTTGGCCAGGCAGTGTAGATACCAGTTTTTATATTGTGTTACTTTTAATTTGTATATGTTCTAATGTTAAATTGTGTTTTTTGTGGCATGCACTTACTCCTCCGATAAATATCTTTAAACATATGTTTTGACTGCCTAAGACTTTGGCACAGTAGGTTACTGTATCTCCACACATAATTCTGGGTTAATATTCCGTAAGTTCCAAAGTTTCAAGCTAATTTGAAATAAACACATTTACAAAACTTGAAAACATACTTACCTGGCAATAAAACCATGAGGACTGGAATCATTAGCATAGTTGCAAATGTTCCAAGTTGTTCTTTCCAAGCTACATCCGAATGATATTTTGCAAGGACAACACTGGCAGCAACTAAAAGAATGTAAGAATAGTCAGTCACCATGAAATTCATGTCAGACAAAAAGCAAAAACCAACCAACATACTCTGTGTCTCTCTCTCTCTGTGCGTGTGTGTGTGTGCGTGTGTGTATAAAATTTTGCGTACATTTTCACCAACACATACTGGTCTCTTATCAGCCGTTCATTGCAGGCAAGCTTGTGCATGAGAGCTGATGTCAACCAAAGTGACAGAGTCTTACCCTTATTAGTTGGCTTGTTTCCTAACTAAAAGTTGCTCACAGTCACTTTGTCAATAGGTTTTAGGAAAAAAAAACTCTTAGTTAAAAACTTTTAGTGCAATTTAGGAGTACTGTTAGAGGTAAGATAAAATATCTTGTGAATACAAAGATGTTTGAGTTGGACACTGTATCATGCATCCCATAATGTACCTATTAACTGCAAAATAAACAAACAAAAGAGGCCATTTTTAGACAACATTTTACGTCAGTGTATGTTTTTGGTGTGTGTGTTGGGGAGCACATGGAGGGAACCAGTGCAAACACGGGGAGAACATGCTAACAGCCCACATGGGAACTTATACAGTACATAAACTTACTTATGTATGAAGCCATGATGACAAGAAATATAATTGCGGTTATTCTTCCTACATAGACACGGATTATAACTGCAGTATTTTTCATCCAAAGGACAAAGCGAAGAACTGAAAGGAGGAGAGGACAGAGTCAGATGACATGAAATGCTTGACAGGCACAGCATAAAAAACAGATGTGTTCACTGCGCGCATTGTCTGGGTTTGAAATCTATGTTGGACACTGTGGTAGTAAAAGAACATCCCACTTTAATTTGCTGATGTAAATGGGTACTTAAAAGGTAACAGGGATGTTTTGGGAGAAGTTCCTTGCACATCCTATAATACATAGATATCCATCCACCCATCCTGAGTAGTGCCACAGGGGGCCTGGAGCCTCTCCCAAGCAGCACAGGGCAGAGGTGCACAGTTTGGATGGGAGGCCATACACACACAGTCACATGCTATGGGCAATTTACAGACACTAATTTAACTGAAAGGGAGTCTGTGGGCTGCTGGAGGAAACTGGAGTAACTGGTGGAAACTCTCATGACATGGGGAGCACATGCAGACTGTATACAGACACAGAGGAGGGGGACTCAAACCCACATGACATGGGAGCACATACAAACTGTACAGAGACACAGAGGAGGGGTACTCAAACCCACATTACAAGTGGAGCATATGCAAACTGCACAGAGACACAGAGGAGGAGGGACTCAAACCCACATGACATGGGAAGCACATGCAAACTGCACAGAGACACTGAGGAGGAGGGACTCAAACCTACATGACATGGGAAGCACAAGAAAACTGCACAGATACACAGAGGAGGGGGACTCAAACCAGCAGCCTGGAGGTGTCAGGCAACAATGCTGACCACTGAGCCACCGTGCTACCCCACAGATACAGATTAACAGTGAACAAAACAAAAATTATACAAATTGTAAATCCTTGGAAAAAATTGAGACCACTCTATATTTTTATACAAATCTGCATTTTTAAATCAAGGTTTAACCATGGTTCTGCTGGCAGAAGGCTATGTTCAGTAGCAGGTTGCTTCCAGGTTCAAAATTTCTAAGACAGCAGTAAACAAGAAGGGTGAAGCAGGAGACACTGGGAACGACCAGAAATCAGCCAGGTAAAGGGCGGAAGCAACTTTCTAATGCCAAAGGTAACCGTTAACTTATCCAACAGTTTCTCATGAATCGTACTGTAGGATGACATCAAGTGACCTTCACAAGGAATGTAAACATTAAGTGCAGGTGTGAAGTGCACTGCTAGGCCAATTCATATCAGGCTCCTAGATGCAGGACTGAAGTCCCATAAAGCAAGGAAGAAGCCCTTCATCAATGAGAAACAGAAGAATCAGGCTCCAGATTACAAAAAAAAAAGAGATAAATGGGTGAAATATTAAAAAATTGCTGTCGTCTCAATTTTTTCCAGAGCTGTGTGTTGTCACACATTTCTGTTTAAGTACTATGTAGAAAATAAACACAGTTCTGATCTAGTATTCCTGAAATCCATTTATAATAGGGCTGGTAGTTGAAAAAGTCATAATCCTTGTGTGTTTTCCTTACACCCTGGACTGCCGCTTAGTTCACTGGGTTGAGTGAGTAGTTCTGATACTGATTCCCTCCAGTCATGTGTTTGAGGCTCAGCAGTTTTCTGTTCATCTGTTTATTTTGTGTCTTTAATTCCTGCACTTGGTTCTCCCTCCTTCTGTTCTGCTCTAGTTTTGTACCTTTTGATTTTGTAATTGATTAGCCTTACTTTATATTCCCAGTAAATTTTTCCTAGTTCTTGGTATTCGTAACACTCCCTAGTTTCTGTTCCCATTAGTTATTAGTTCCACCTGTTTCTCATTGTTCCTGCACCTCCCTTGATTGGTTAATTGATTATTAGTTACACCTGTCCCTTGTTTTACCTCATTTTCTCTGTGTAAAGTTCCTGACTTAGTTCATTTCCCCAGTGTGTCTGATAAAATATATGCTCATACTATTTTCCCAGTTGCATGCCTTAACACAAAGAAATAATTATGAGTTTACGTTTAAAGCAATGCGTTAACAAGAATTTTCCCAGCCCTAATTTATAAACATACTCACTTCGGAGTACAAGAAAAAATATGAACATAGATATGATTCCACCAAAAATTCCTGCAAATGTTGCTTTCTCAGCTGGAGTTGGGGAATATTTTGCTGAAAACTCAATGAGAAAACCTGAAATGAGGTAAGAATAGTAATTAATGACAGACACAGGAAAAAGAAAAATGTGTTCCGTGATTAATTTGTTTAGCAGATGCATTTGTCAAAAGTGCAAGTGAGAATCAGAGAGCAGGATTAGCCTGCATTTAAGCTAATAAAATCACTCTGCCAGCCGTATGACTTGATCCGACAACCTTCTGATCAGGCTTAGAGAGCCCAAACCTGCAGAGCAACACACTGCCCACATTAAGGCTATGTCCACACTAATATGTTTTTGTTTAGAAACGCAAACATTTTCTTCAGATTTAGCCTTCTGTCCACACTACTGCAGATCTTTTTTTCCACAGTGTGGATACTCAGAAACATTACATTTTGTATGCTACACTACAGTACTATGATATTTCGCTTTTGCTAAATGAAATACATGCACATAGATTAATCAACAGCTAAGCATTTAGAAAAACTGAACTTTATAAAAAGTCATAATCAATAATTTAAAATATGTACTTTACCACTTCTAGAATTATAAAAAATTTTGGTTGAACAAAAACATGAAAATGGCATTTTGTGCTCAAGCTACAATAAACAAATAAAATATAAAGTGGGCCACTTCTAAAAATATTATAAAAAGTTATGTTTAAATGTGCAAATGAAGAATGGCAGAAATATATACATTAAGAACCTCTCATATGTACAATATATACAATTACACAAATACTAAATACTTTCCTCCCCGAATAGACCAGTTTCCTGTATTTTATACGTAAAGATTTCAGCTTTGATGACAATAATAACTTTGAAATTGCTTCGGTCTTGTGAGGGTAGTCCTTCCCACAACACCCTGCCTCTTCGGGTAATGGGTACAGGTTTTTACACTGCTGCATTACGTCATCAGATTTCAAATGGCAAGACTCCTAGTCTATGTTCTGAGCTGACCTGAATGGCTTGCAACAAATGAATCGGTTTTCGTGCATTTTGCCATTACTGTAGGCATTTTCACTAGCATTGAAAAGAACGTTTCCGTCCACATTGCACAGTATAAAAGGCAAATGACATAGCCTATGATGCATATTAGCCTACACTGCGCATATGCATAGGGGCGGCAACAGGAATTGTCCTAAACGTTAAGTGCCTTTTCAGCTTTGGTTTGGAAGCCTTGCTCAAGGGCTCAACACTGATACAGTTACTCTGCCAGTAACGGGATCTGAACTCACAACCTTCCAGACATGGGCACAGAACCCTACCCTGCTAGGATACATACCTCCCCACATTGTGACAGTTAAACTTACCTGCACATACAGCTGTGATAATGATGGTGCTTCCGAAAGACAGGGTCACGTATTTAATCTCACCCACCATTTCTGTAAATACAATATAAGACTTATTTTAACAAATACAGTGCATCACATCTCAAGTCACAACAGCCACCCCTAATAATTTTGGAAAAATCGTTTGTGCTGTCAGACCATTATGATATTCTATAGTTGAACTGGTATTCCATTACATCAATCCATTTTCTGTAGCCGCTTGTTCTGTTCAGGGTCGCACGGGTTCCAGAGCCTATCCCGAAGGATATGGGTGCAAGGCTGGGAATAACTCAGGATGGGGCACCAACCCATCATTGGGCACATTCACACACCATTTACTCACACAAGCACACCTACAGACAATTTTGGTAACTGCATTTAGCCTCAAGATATTTTTGGATTGCAGAAGGAAACCCTATGACAACACAGGGAGAACATGCTGTTATGGCAGGGCATGGCAAAGAAGGGAAAAGAGGGACGATCCATGGAGAAGCTCACAAACAAAGAGAGATTTATCAACAAACAGAACAGAATGGGGAAAACCAGAAAATAAAGGGATCTCGAGAGGTCAAGAACAAAACAGGAAAAACAAGAATTAACTAAAAGAATCGCAAAATAATATTCTACAGAACAGAGCAAAAACTGAGGGCAGACTTGGAAAGGAGCACAGCTACAAACAAGCAGCAACATCTACATGTCTTAAACATACGCATCTTAAACATCTAAACACAGCACTGGGGCAACTACACAAGGAAAGATCAAAAACAAGCAGAAGCAAAACTAAAACCAACAAGAGATGGGTAGGTTAGATTATAAACAGGGACACAAAGCAAAGACCTAGAGAAACAAAACAAAAAGCTAAGGATACAATAAACCCAAAAAAATAACCCACGATAGGCACAGTATCAGCTTCTGAGTGGCTCACACAACCTGTTGAGCTACATGGCAGTCTGGGGAGCAGGGAAACAAACTAGTGACTTAGGACAAAGACAGAGAAGGGAATGGAATGGCCAGTGACACCTGCTGGACAAACAGGGGCAAAATATTTGGAAGAGGGCCAGATGGACACTGACCCTGACACATGCAAATTCCACACACCTGGTGGAAACCTGGGTGGAGACTTGAATTCAGGTCAGAGAGGTGTGAAGCAACAGTGCTAACCACTCCACCACCGTGCCTCCTCTAAACTGTCATTTAATAATGTCAAAGCATTGGATTTGCAACCACTGGCTTTAAACAAGTGCATGTAGGATGTTTTACTGTCTAAAACCACTAAAGCAGGGGTGGGCACTCTTAGATGCAAAGGGCAAGTGTGTATGCGGGTTTTCGCTGCAACTCCCTAATTCAGGGATATTCAACTAAAATTTAAAGAGGTCCAGTTAGAGAAAATTTCTTGAAACAATGGTCCGGAAGATCATAATGTCTAACTATTTAATAGTGTGATATCTACTTAAGTAGCCTATTAGTTGCATCAACATTGCATTTAATCAGTACCTGACTGTCAAATCAAATTCATTCAGTACAATTCAAAAACGTTTTGCTAATATTTATTGTCACGTGACACAGAACTTCGGCCAGCTGGCTGGAG